CCCCAAAACCCCAAAACCCCTCTGTGTACTTATAGATAAAATATTTCAAGAGTGAAACAATTACATATATTAACATGAATACATATTTTCTAATTTTACTTCTGTCACTCAACATTATTTGTTTCTCCTAATCCAAAGACCAATAAGTTGAAAAATAAAGGAAAAAAATCTTAGTTATTGGACAATTTATTGTAAGTCATCCAAGAACATGGTATCATATATCAAAGGAATTAGCAAAGGTTGAAAACTATGAAATTTACCAAATTTTGCCGGCGGATTCCTCTTATGTTTTAAAAGTTAAGGCTAATGGAGTAATACCTATACTTTGCAAGAACTATTCACAATAATATTTTGACGAGTTTAATGAAAAAATGAAAGCAAGCACACTAGGTGATTCTGAAATCATTGATTACATGCAGTATTTGACAAGGGCATTTTACTCTGAAAAAGAACTCATATAAGAGATAAAGTCATTGAAATTTGACTTAGTAATATGTGGGCTATTTTTTGAGACTTAACTAATGGTGAATACACTTCAAATTCCACTTTATATCAGAATATTTAGTGGAAATCTAGACAGTTCTATGCAGTTTATGATGAATTAGCATACCACGCATTCATCACAACTCCATTAAATAAGAACTGTTATTTTTGGAATGGAAAATCACACGGATCTTCACTCCTTTACTACAAATTTTTTCACTAGATTGAGAAATAGACTTGCTGAACATATCTTTTGCGGACTCGGCTCTTATCTGATTCATTAAAAACTATATAATGAGATACCAGAGCATCTTAGATAAGATGCTATGACCTTCAGAGCGCCTGATATGATTCTTTACACAGGATATGAAGGTTTATCACAGCCAATGGCTCTGTCACCAAACTCAAGAATAATCCCTCCATTGTCTAAAATTGAATCTGATGCTTAGATGATTACACAAGATCTCTAAAATTTCATAGATAGATTTGAGAAACTTATCTTTGTCTCCTTTGGTACAGCCTAAATCCCAAAACCAGAATTTATAAGGATTCTCTCTATATACATGTAGAAATAATCAAACTATGGATTTATATATTCAGCTACAAATTTGAAATATCTTGAAAAAGACATCTTAGATAGAGTATAAAACTCGGGAAATGTATTTGTAGCTTCCTGGCTACCACAAATTTAGATTCTAAATAATCCAAAAGTTAAAATATTCTTTAGTCACGGTGGTTTGAATGGTGTCATAGAGTCAATCGAAGCATAAAAACCTTTAATTATAATTCCAGCTATATCTACTGATTAGTTTTATTCTTGTGAGTACGTTTAGGCTTAAAAACTTGGAGCTTGTTTATTCAAATCTGATGAAGATCACTTAGATGAGTAAGTAAAATATATTGAGGAAAACAATGGCTTCAGTGACAGACTTAAGATTCTCAAGAAAATGATTGATAAAAAGAAGTAGCAAGGATTGGGATTGCTTTACTGGGTTGACTATTTGCTGGAAATTGGAACGAGCGAGTTCATTTCAGCAAAACAATATTAATCGTTCAATTATCTTCAACTATATGATGTGGATGTGAACATCGCTATCGATCTTATACTAATTGCAATGATAGCAATTGTGATTGCAATTCTAGTTAAAATCTATAGACTTATTACTTGCAAGAAAGGTAAAAATGAGAGTAAAAGTACTAAGATAGATTGATAATAAGCAAATCTCTTTTTAAAGAAGGCAATATGATATGACATTTTAATAAGATTTAATATTTAATCACCCATTTTAATTATCAAGAAACTAATTTTTATTAAAAGTAAAGTAAAAGGAATTGTTTTGCTAAAGATATTCTGCTGTTCTTAATGATAAATATCAATGCAATAAATATAGTTAAACATAGATTAATTTATTAAATTTTCCTCAAAAATGACCCAAATATTGATATTCGGGGTTTTGGGGTTTTGGGGTTTTGGGG